TTTTGGTGTGTTGGGAGAGAAAGATTTTTGGGGGGTTGGTTTTTTTTGGGGGTGGATTTGGGGTATTTTGGTTGGGTTTGGGGAGAGAAAGATTGGGGGGGGTGGGTTTTTTTGGGGTGTATTTGGGGTATTTTGGTGTGTTGAGAGAGAAAGATTTTGGGGGTTGGGTTTTTGTGGGGGTGGATTTGGGGTATTTTGGTTGGGTTTGGGGAGAGAAAGATTTTGGGGGGTTTGGGGCTTTTTTGGTTGGGTTTTGGGAGAGAAAGATTTTGGTGGGGGGCTTTTTGGGGGTGGATTTGGGGTATTTTGGTTGGGTTTGGGAGAGAAAGATTATGGGGGGGTTGGGTTTTTTTGGGGGATTTGGGGTATTTTGGTGGGTTTGGGAGAGAAAGATTTTGGGGGGGGGGTTTTTTTTGGGGGTGGATTTGGGGTATTTTGGTCGGGTTTGGGGAAAGATTTTGGGGGGGTTGGGGCTTTTTTGGGGTGTATTTGGGGTATTTTGGTGTGTTGGGAGAGAAAGATTTTGGGGGGTTGGGGGGGTTTTGGGGGTGGATTTTGGGTATTTTGGTTGGGTTTGGGAGAGAAAGATTTGGGGGGGATTGTTTTTTTTGGGGGTGGATTTGGGGTATTTTGGTGTGTTGGGAGAGAAAGATTTTGGGGGGTTTTTGGGGTTTTTTGTTCAGGGTTTGGGGAGAGAAAGATTTTGGGGGGGTTGGGGCTTTTTGGGGGTGGATTTGGGGTATTTTGGTGTGTTGGGAAAGATTTTGGGGGGTTTGGGGGGGTGGGGGTGGATTTGGGGTATTTTGGTTGGGTTTGGGAGAGAAAGATTTGGAGGGGATTGTTTTTTTTGGGGGGTGGATTTGGGGTATTTTGGTTGGGTTTGGGGAGAGAAAGATTTTGGGCGGGTTGGGTTTTTTGGGGGTGTATTTGGGGTATTTTGGCCAGGTTTTGGGAGAGAAAGATTTTAGGAGGATTTGGGGGTTTTGGTTTTTTTGGGGGGGTATTTTGGTCAGGCTTTGGGAGACAAAGATTTTTTGGGGGGATTTGGGGCTTTTTGGGGGTGTGGGAGGTGTTTGGGTGGTGAGGGCTTTCAGAGCAGGGTGGGTTTGGGGGCTGCAGGGTTTTTTTGGGGTGTTTTAAAGATTTCTTTCACTTTTTGATATCTCTTTGGGCTTTTGGGGGAGGTATTTGGGGGTTTTGGTGGATTTGAGGACTTTCGGGGGGGATGGTTCAGGGGGGCTTTGGGCAGGGTCAGGGTTTGGGGGTGCAGTGAGGGGTTTTGGGGTGATTTTAGGATGTCTTTCCCACTTTCATACCCACGTGTGCTTTCTCCTGCCACAGCTGCGCGTCAGCAAGGAACAGGAGCATTTCTTGGTGGCCCCACAGGGGCTGGCATGCAGTGAGGTGACAGCGGCCAGCTTGGTGAGCATCCCTGTTACCCCTATAGCATCACCCCCACCCCTGTTATCCCTGTTCATCACCCCCATCCCTGTTACCCCTATAGCATCACCCCCACCCCTGTTATCCCTGTTCATCAGCCCCATCCCTGTTACCCCTATAGCATCACCCCCACCCCTGTTATCCCTGTTCATCAGCCCCATCCCTGTTACCCCTGTAGCATCACCCCCATCCCTGTTACCCCTATAGCATCACCCCAGCGTTATCCCTGTTCATCACCCCCATCCCTGTTACCCCTGTAGCATCACCCCCATCCCTGTTATCCCTATAGCATCATCCCCATCCCTGTTACCCCTATAGCATCACCCTCATCCCTGTTATCCCTCTTCATCATTCCCATCCCTGTTACCCCTATCCATCACCTCCATCCCTGTTATCCCTATCCCTCACCTCCATCCCTGTTATCTCCATCCGTCACTTCCATACATGTTATCCCTATGGCATCACCCCCATCCCTGTTATTCCTGTAGCATCACTCCCATCTCTGTTATCCCCATCCATCACCTCCATCCCTGTTATCCCTTATCCATCACCCCCATTCCTGTTATCCCTATCCATCACCTCCATCCCTGTTATCCCTGTAGCATCACTCCCATCCCTGTTATCCCTATCCATCACCTCCATCCCTGTTAACCACCACCATCATCCCTGTTATCCCTGTAGCATCATTCCCATCCCTGTTATACCTTATCCACCACCCGCATCCCTGTTATCCCTATCCATCATCCCCATTCCTGTTATCCCTGTAACATCACCCCCATCCCTGTTATCCCTTATTCACCACCCCCATCCCTGTTATCCCTGCAGCATCACCCCCATCCCTGTTACCCCTCTCCATCACCCCCATTGCCATCCCTTCCCATCACCCCCACAACCTGAAGGAGCTCCGAGCCCCCTCTCTGTCCCGTCCCCCCCAAGATCAAGGTGAACGTGCTGGGGGCCGTGGTGGAGCAGGGCAGCACCAACTTCACCCCGGACACTGGCAGCTTCAGCCTCCACGCCGCCATCTACGCCGCCCGCCCCGATACCCGCTGCATCATCCACCTGCACACCCCGGCCACGGCTGCAGTGAGACATCGGGGTGCTAGGGGTGGGTTTTGGGGGGGGGGGGGGGGTTGGAAGGGGTTTGTCACCCCCCGTGTCCTGCCGCAGGTCTCGGCCATGCGCTGTGGGGTGCTGCCCATCTCCCGCGCCGCGCTGCTCCTGGGGGATGTCGCCTACTTCGACTTCAGAGGGGAGGTGGAGGAGGAAAGCGACCGGGTCGAGCTCCAGAAGTGCCTCGGTCCCACCTGCAAGGTGAGGGGATGGGGACACGCGTAAGGGGTGAACCCATTGCACTCGCCTTGCCCCGCTGACGGCCCCATCGGTGCTGCAGATCCTGGTGCTGCGCAACCACGGCGTGCTGGCGCTGGGCGACACGGCCGAGGAGGCTTTCTACAGCATCTTCCACCTGCAGGCGGCCTGCGAGATCCAGGTGAGCACCCGGCCCTGCACTGAGCTGTGTGCGGCCTCAGCACCGTGCTTATAGGGATAAGCACTGAGATGTGTATGGCCTCAGCATCATGTCCATGGGGATAAGCATTGAGCTGTGTATGGCCTCAGCACCGTGCCCGTGGGGATAAGCGCTGAGCTGTGTATGGCCTCAGCACCGTGCCCGTGGGGATAAGCACTGAGCTGTGTATGGCCTCAGCATCATGCCCATGGGGATAAGCACTGAGCTGTGTATGGCCTCAGCACCGTGCCCGTGGGGATAAGCACTGAGATGTGTGCAGCCTCAGCATCATGTCCATGGGGATAAGCACTGAGCTGTGTGCGGCCTCAGCATCATGTCCATGGGGATAAGCACTGAGCTGTGTATGGCCTCAGCACTGTGCTCATAGGGATAAGCACTGAGCTGTGTGCAGCCTCAGCATCATGTCCATGGGGATAAGCACTGAGTTGTGTATGGCCTCAGCATCATGTCCATGGGGATAAGCACTGAGCTGTGTATGGCCTCAGCACCGTGCCCGTGGGGATAAGCACTGAGATGCGTATGGCCTCAGCACCGTGCCCATAGGGATAAGCACTGAGCTGTGTATGGCCTCAGCACCGTGCCCGTGGGGATAAGCACTGAGATGCGTATGGCCTCAGCACCGTGCCCGTGGGGATAAGCCCTGAGCTGTGTATGGCCTCAGCATCATGTCCATGGGGATAAGCACTGAGCTGTGTATGGCCTCAGCACCGTGCCCGTGGGGATAAGCACTGAGATGCGTATGGCCTCAGCACCGTGCCCATAGGGATAAGCACTGAGCTGTGTATGGCCTCAGCACCGTGCCCGTGGGGATAAGCACTGAGATGCGTATGGCCTCAGCACCGTGCCCGTGGGGATAAGCACTGAGCTGTGTATGGCCTCAGCATCATGTCCATGGGGATAAGCACTGAGCTGTGTATGGCCTCAGCACCGTGCCCGTGGGGATAAGCACTGAGATGCGTATGGCCTCAGCACCGTGCCCATAGGGATAAGCACTGAGCTGTGTATGGCCTCAGCACCGTGCCCATGGGGATAAGCACTGAGATGCGTATGGCCTCAGCACCGTGCCCATGGGGATAAGCACTGAGCTGTGTGCGGCCTCAGCACCGTGCCCATGGGGATAAGCACTGAGCTGTGTATGGCCTCAGCACCGTGCCCATGGGGATAAGCACTGAGATGTGTACGGCCTCAGCATCATGTCTATGGGGATAAGCACTGAGCTGTGTATGGCCTCAGCATCATGTCTATGGGGATAAGCACTGAGCTGTGTATGGCTTCATCACTGTGCCCATGGGGATAAGCACTGAGCTGTGTATGGCTTCATCACTGTGCCCAATGGGGATAAGGACTGAGCTGTGTATGGCCTCAGCACCGTGCCCATGGGGATAAGCACTGAGATGTGTATGGCCTCAGCACTGTGCTTATAGGGATAAGCACTGAGCTGTGTATGGCCTCAGCATCATGTCCATGGGGATAAGCACTGAGCTGTGTGCGGCCTCAGCACAGTGCCCATGGGGATAAGCACTGAGCTGTGTATGGCCTCAGCACTGTGCTCATAGGGATAAGCACTGAGTTGTGTATGGCCTCAGCATCATGTCCATGGGGATAAGCACTGAGCTGTGTATGGCCTCAGCATCATGCCCATGGGGATAAGCACTGAGCTGTGTGCGGCCTCAGCATCATGCCCATGGGGATAAGCACTGAGCTGTGTATGGCCTCAGCATCATGTCCATGGGGATAAGCACTGAGCTGTGTATGGCCTCAGCACCGTGCCCAATGGGGATAAGCACTGAGCTGTGTATGGCCTCAGCACTGTGCCCATGGGGATAAGCACTGAGCTGTGTATGGCCTCAGCATCATGTCCATGGGGATAAGCACTGAGCTGTGTATGGCCTCAGCACTGTGCTCATAGGGATAAGCACTGAGCTGTGTGCGGCCTCAGCACCGTGCCCATAGGGATAAGCACTGAGATGTGTATGGCCTCAGCATCATGTCCATGGGGATAAGCACTGAGATGTGTATGGCTTCATCACTGCGCCCTAGGGCCATGCCCTGAGCTGTGCCATGTCTCTGCTACCACCATGGTGCCCTAGGACCATGCCCTGAGCTGTGCCAGGTCCCTGCTGTCACCATGGTCCCCAGCGCACCCATGGGTGCTGTGGGTGCCGTGGCCATGCCCAGCCCCACCAGCACACCCCACACCCCCCCCAATACCCCTTTCTGTGCCGCAGGTGTCGGCGCTGGCGAGCGCGGGGGGCACGGAGAACCTGATCGTGCTGGAGCGCAGCAAGCACCGTGCGCACGAGGTGGGCTCCGTGCGCTGGGCGGGCAGCACCTTCGGGCCCATGCAGAAGAGCCGCTTGGGCGAGCACGAGTTCGAGGCCCTCATGAGGATGCTGGACAACCTGGTGAGGATGCGGGAGCGCCTCAAACCCAACCGCGCTCCCATCTCTGCCGCCCGGCGTCCCGCATCTCACAACCCCAACCCGCCGTGTCCTTCCGCAGGGGTACCGCACCGGCTACACCTACCGCTACCCCCTGGTGCAGGAGAAGAGCAAGCCCAAAAGCGATGTGCTCATCCCCGCCACCGTGACTGCCTTTGTGTTCGAGGAGGAGCCGGCCCCGGTGCCCGCGCTGCGGCAGCACGCACAGAAGCAGCAGAAGGAGAAGACGAGGTGGCTCAACACCCCCAACACCTACATGAGGGTCAATGTGGCTGAGGAGCAGCAGGGCAGCGCCGGCAGCCAGAAGACAAAGACGACGGTGAGGGGCTGCTGGGGCAGTGAAAGGGGAAGGGGGGGGGGTTTGGGGTGCTTTGGGGAGGGGGCTGGCTCTGGGAATGGTGTTAGCTTGGAGGGTGATGCGTAAAGGGAGGGATGGGGTCTCGCCAGGAACGCACAGGGGTCTGTGAGAAGCTGCAACTGATGCTTTTGGTACCTTTATTAAGCACAAACTTTCCTTTCCTCCTCTATTCCCTGCCATAATAATGGCCATTGGAAAACCCCATCTCCCCAGCCTCACATAAATCACTTCTGCCTTATCTCCAACCTGAACTTCCCCTGTTTCAGTCTGAACCCATCACCCCTTGTCCTATCCCTACAGTCCCTATGAAGAGCCCCTCTCCAGCATCCTTGTAGCCCCCTTCAGACACTGGAAGCTGCTCTGAGGTCTCCATGGGTTCCCCCCCCTTCACGATGTGTTGTTTATGGGGGTTTTCTCTCTGGATGCAGTGGCTGAAAGCAGACGAGGTGGAAAAAGGCAGCAGCGGGACCCCCATCCGAATCGAGAACCCCAACCAGTTTGTGCCCCTCTACACGGACCCACAGGAGGTGCTGGAGATGAGGAACAAGGTCCGGTCCTGGCCCCAAACGCCCCCCCCCCTCACGAGGCTTTGGGATGTGCATGCAGGGCTCTTCACAGATCCATGGGCAGGGGGGCAGCTGTTTCCTTGCCCCTAATCCGCTTCTCCCCCATAGATCCGGGAGCAGAACCGCCAGGATGTGAAGTCAGCCGGCCCCCAGTCCCAGCTGCTGGCCAGCGTGATCGCAGAGACCAGCCGCAGCCCCGTACGCCACCCCACATCCCAGCCCCACATCCCCTCCCCACAGCATTCCACCCCTCACGGCGGGGGTAACACTGCTCCGGGGCTGTTCCTTCAGTCCACAGAGAGCCATTTGGGTGATGCAGAAGCCAAAGAAGCATCCAGGGATGAGGCCCCCCCGGAGCCGGAGCCCCCAAACCCCTTCAGCCAGCTGACGGACCAGGAGCTGGAGGAGTACAAGCAGGAGGTGGAGAGGAAAAAGCTGCAGGGTAGGAAGGGGTAAAAGGGAGCCCTGATCCCAAATCCCATCCCATGGGGCTCGGGGGCAGCTCACGTCTCTGTTGGCAGGTGAGAAGGCTGCTGTGGCCGAGGAGAGCCAGGCTCCCCCTGCATCCCCACCGCAGAGCCCGGCCCCGACGCCTGCGGAGCCCTCGGAGGGTGAGTGAGCCCATGGGAGCAGGGGACATGAGGATGGGGTCTGCAGTGAGCAACTGAAGCAGAGGGATGCGGGTGGATGCAGCCGGACCCTGCTTGAACACGGATAAAGGTCTCCATCAGCCTGCTGGGCTCCAGTGGGGAGAAGCAGCACTGATGGGGGCTCACACCATAAAGGCAGCCAAGCCACCGCTGGCCTTGATCAAGAGCATCCATTGGTGGCTTTGTTGGGTGCAGGGGACGTCTCCATCCCTCCCCTAACAGAATCAACCAGGATGGGAAAGAGCTTTAAGCTCATCGAGTCCAACCATTCCCAGCACTGTCAAGGCCACCACTAACCCATGGCACTGAGGGTCTTGTCTACAAGGTTTGGGAACGCTTCCAGCCTGTTCCAATGCCTGAGCACCCTTTGGGGCAAGGAATTGTTCCTCAGCTCCATCTAACCCACCCCCCCGGTGCAGCTTGAGGCCGTTTCCTTTTGTCCCATCACCTAAGGATGCGACATTCCCATTGTTATATGGTCCCACGTTGTCACTTCCAGCGGGTCTTGGGGGGGGGCAGTGGGAGCTTCTGCCTTGCTCATCATGTGTCGTGGTGTCTGTGTCTGTGTCCACAACCTCTTCCTTTCTCTTTCCTCCCCGTGTGGCTCTCACCCAAGGAGTTACCTCTGACTCTGAATGCTTGTCACTGTAGTAAGTACGGAGAGGCCATCCTTAAGGAGGAGGGACACGGCTGCAGCTCGGGGTACCCTTGCTCTCCGTGGCCCCAGCGCTCTCCTGAGGGCTTTGCAGCAGGAAATGCCTTGGGTTTCCTTGTTCTCTTTGCTCCCTGCTTTCATTCCAGCCTCCAGGCCGGGATGGAGCCAGCCGCCCGCTCTGCCTGCCTCTTCCCGGCTCTCCATCCCACCTCGCTTGTCCTGCAGGGAGAGGGGGGGAACTCAGGGAAGCAGCGCCTGAGGCAGGAGGGGATGGAGCCCCATTGTTCTCTATGCACAGAGGCCGAATCCTGCTCCTGCCCGGGGAGGTGATGCCCAAACCTCACCTCTCCTCTTTGCCGTTGCCAAGGTGACAAGAAGGAGGATGGGGACCAAGCGCCGGCTGATTCTGCTGTTGAGAAGGAGCCGCCAGCGGTGGTGAATGGGAAGGAGGAGGAGCAAAGCACCGAGGAAAGCAAAGCCGGGGAGCGGACAACGTCCCCTGCCAACACCGACACGGATGCCCCTAAGGAGAAGGAGACGGTGACCAGCAGCCCCGTGTCCCCCGAAGGCTCCCCTTCCAAATCGCCCTCGAAGAAGAAGAAGAAATTCCGGACCCCGTCTTTCCTGAAAAAAGGCAAAAAGAAGGAAAAGATCGAATCCTGAGTGTCCTCCGCAGCCTCCGCCCCCCAATCCGCTCCGGAGGGAGGCACCAAAGACGCAGGGATGGCTCCTGCAGCTGAAAAGCCGGGAGATGAGCTGTTTCCTTGGCTATTCCCGGCACCAGGCGCCTCATCCCCTCGTCACCCGCTTATTGGAGGCGGTCACTGAGCTTAGGAAAGATTTGTGGCCCCTGTTTGCTGCTTGGGGAAACACCCACCCGCTGCAATGTCCCTTCTCCCTCCTCCCTGCTGGGTACCAGCCCCTTTCCCAGTCCCGGATTGAGGGTTGGATGTGGGGTGTTTGCTCCCCCTTTGTGAATTGCAGGGCGCAGCTCGGATGCGCTCGGTTTGAGGACGAAAAGGGTGCTTTTTGTTGTTCTTTTCCTACCTTCTTGTCCCAAGCTCTACTGGAATGGCTTCACACACCCCCTGGGCAACATCGGGTGCTGCTTTGCCAAGGGAATTGGATCAGAATGGGAGGGGGGGAATTTGCTCTTCCTGAAGGAGAGCCCACAGCCTTGTGAGCCTTTCCTTTATGGATTGTAACCTTCCTCCTCGTGGGCTGGAGTCCCCTTCTCCTGGTGCTGCTGCCTCTGTGTGTGTGCGGGATGAGGAAGCGCAGCCGGATTCCCCATCACCGGACCCGCACCGGAGAAGGGAGAAGGAAAAGGAGCCTCTGGGAAGGGTCTGTGCTACTAAAACTGAGCAAAACTTCACTAAGTGCTACTTCGGGATGAAGATGCTGCCACCTCACTGCCGATGCCACCGTCCCCATCGCCCCGTCACCACTGGTTGTGCCACGCCGACACCATCCACGTGCTTTTGCCGAGCTCTGGAATTCCAAGCACTCCTCCCTGGTTGTTTCCTTGCCTCCCAGCCTCACCTCCAGCTCTCCATACAGCGACATGACCATCATTCCAACCTCCCGGCCGTGCCCAAAGGGAAGACGAGACCCAGCGATGCTTTGCCCTGATGCTGCTCCAATGCTGGTATTAAGGGGACAAAACCAATGGATCAGCCCCTATCCTCCTCCAACACACAGGGATTTGCCATCTTCATGGGGACAGGGCTTCCTCCGGGTCCTGGATCCATGGGCTCTGCGTTTCCTCACCCCAGTCCCATATTCCCACAGGCCACCACCACGTTTTCAAAGCCTTTTTGCTCTTGGCTTTTGTTTTCCCTTCTGGAAGAGCAGAAAGCCAAAGGGAGGAGGTTTGGGAATGCAGGATGGGTTTTCCTCGCAGGGCGAGTGAGTTGGAGAGTAAAACATCAGGCCCAGGGTTCAATAGAGGGGACCCTGAGCTCCCACATTCACCATCCACGAGGATAAGCAGATGCCCATCACCTTTATATCAGCCTTTGAGATGCCCCCCGCAGCTCCGTACCCATTTCCCATGGGATGTTGTTAACTGCCACTGGTTCCAAAGCTCTTTGGGGCCCCTTTGCCATGGAGCCTGCATGTCCCAAGCCACAAACCGCCATAGGGATGGCTGTGCTGCCTCTCGGGTTGGTTCATTATAACACTGCCGCCCCCCTCCTGCGCTGCTCTGTATCCATGGGCTGCGCAATTCCTTTTCTCCAGGGGTTTTTAGAGGAGACAGGGATCTATTTCCCCACTTGGAATCCTGGGGTGCGTTAAGCATCTCCCGCAGCATAGGGAAGCAAGAGGTACTGATGCCTTCAGCGGGTCAAATAGATGCCACCATGATGCTGGTCCTCGCTGCAGATACAGGGTTACAGTGACCTGACTTGACAGGGCATCCCTGGGCCCATTCCATCCTCTGGATAACATGGAAAACTCTCCCTCTACCCCCTACCAGCGTTTTATCCCCTATTGCAGCCCATTGGTTTGCTGTTTCCTTCTCCTTCCAGCCGCGGGATGTGGGAATCTCGTGGCAGGGAACCGGGAACGCATCCCTGGATGCAAACCATTGCTCCAAGGGGTGCCCATTGCTGCCCCCTTCACGCCTGCATCCCCATGGAAGAGGAGAGGCCAGTTCCAACGTGGGCGATGATGATGATGATGGGGTTCTATGGAGTGGGGAGGGTCCCATCGAGGATGCGGGTGATGAAGCCCAGAGGGGGCTCTGCCATTGCGGGGAGCAAGGGGAGGGCAAGCGCCGGTGTCCGACAATCGCTGTGTGTAAATAAACCCCGTGTTTGGCACCTCCAGGGCTGCGGAGCTTCGGGGGGGGGGCGGAAGGCTGGGGTTGTGGGGCTGGGGTTGTGGGGCTGGGGCTCACACCCGCCCCGTTGCCGTGGGGCGTACGGAGGGAGAGGGGGCGGAACGTTTTGGCTGCGGAACCAAAAGGCGGCGGCACCGGTTGCCGGGGGAGCCGGAAGTGAAGGCGCTGAGGGGCGGCCATGGGCCGCAGCCGCTCCCGGTCGCCGCCGCGGCGCGGTGAGGAGGGGACCGGGACCGGGATCGGGATCGGGATCGGGATCGGGATCGGGGTCAGGGTCGGGACCGGGATCGGGTTGGGGGCTCCGGGAGCGGGTAGAGGCCGGGCCCCGGGGGGCGATGCACGGATGCGGGCGAGGAACCGGGGGTAGGGCCGGGCCCTGCGTCTTCCCCCGGCCCATGGGCAGCGGTGAGCGGGGTGAGGCCGCGGTGGGCCCCGTTATCCTCCTGCTCCTGCCGCACGCATCAGCGGTCCGCGGGCGGGTGAGCGCGGCCAGGGCTGGGGAAGGGGGTTCTTGCCGCCACTGCGGCCGCTGTGGGTGCTGGTGGGGATGTGTGGGGCCAGCGGGGCTGGTTGTGGGGTGTCCGGATGGGAGCTGTCACTGCACAGGGTCTCAGCCTGGGTGGGGATGAAGGGAGCTTAAAGCTCATCCAGGTCCAGCCCCTGCCACGGGCAGGGACCCCTTCCACTGGAGCAGCTTGCTCCAAGCCCCTGTGTCCAACCTGGCCTTGAGCACTGCCAGGGATGGGGCAGCCACAGCTTCTCTGGGCACCCTGTGCCAGCGCCTCAGCACCCTCACATAAATCACTTCTTCCTTATCTCCAACCTGAACTCCCCCTGTTTCAGTCTGAACCCATCACCCCTTGTCCTATCCCTACAGTCCCTGATGAAGAGCCCCTCTCCAGCATCCTTGTAGCCCCCTTCAGACACTGGAAGCTGCTCTGAGCTCTCCACGCAGCTTCTCATCTCCAGCCCCAATGCTCTCAGCCTGGCTCCTATGGGGTCCTGTCATTGGGGTTTGCCCCCAGGAGGGCTGAGGAAGCAGGAACTGACCCCGGCTTTTCCCATCGCAGAACGCAGGCGTTCCCGATCCGCCTCCCGGGACAGGGAGCGGCGGCGCAGGGAGCGATCGCGCTCGCGGGATAGGGACCGGAGGCGGAGCCGCTCTCGCTCCCCGCACCGGCGACGCTCCAGGTAAGAGGCTGGGATGAGCCCGGCTGAGGCTCGCTGCGGGGCGGCGCCGGGAAGCGGGATGGGGATAACGTGGCGGGGACGGCGCGAACCCGCCTGCCTTTGTAACGTCAGGTCACCGCGACGGCACCGCTCCAGCTCGTCCTCCCCCCCGCGGCTCAAGGAGAGGCGGGACGAGGAGAAGAAGGAGATAAAAGACTCCAAAGGCAAAGAGCGGCAGATCACGGGTAAGGGAAGCGGGGTTTCCTCTTTAAATATGGCCCCAGTGAGGCTGGGATTGGTGCTGCTTTAACGTGCTCTTGTCACAGCCTGATGGCTGCTTTTATCCAGCTCTTTCATTCCATTGCCTTGGCAGAGGAGGATCTGCAGGGCAAGACGGAAGAGGAGATCGAGATGATGAAAATGATGGGCTTTGCCTCCTTTGACACAACAAAAGTGAGTGTGGATGAGCACGATGGAGCCTGCAGCCACCTCTGATGCAGCCATTGTGCCCTTTTGGGGGGATACTCATAGAACAGAATCGTGGAATCATCCAGGCTGGGAAAGAGCTTTAAGCTCATCCAGTCCAACCCTTCCCAGCCCTGCCAAGGCCACCACTGACCCATGGTACTGAGGGTGTGTGAACACTTGCAGGGCCGGTGACTGCAGCCCTGCCCTGGGCAGCCTGTTCCAATGCCTGAGCACCCTCTGGGCAAGGAATTGTTCCTCAGCTCCATCTAAACCTGCCCTGGTGCAGCTTGAGGCTGTTTCCTCTTGTCCCATCCCTTGTTCCTTGGGAGCAGAGCCCAGCCCCTCCAGGCTCCATCCTCCTGTCAGGCAGTTGTAGGGAGCCATCAGGCCCCCCCTGAGCCTTCTCTTCTCCATCTGAACTCCCCAGGTCCCTCAGCCATTCCCCATCACACTTGTGCTCCAGGCCCTGTATAGTTTTAGGACCTCTTTTTACTTTATCCCTTGCAGGGGAAGAAGGTGGACGGCGCCGCGAACGCGTACGCCATCAACGTGTCGCAGAAGAGGAAATACAGGTTTGTGCATTGCAAGGCTTTCCTTTTTCCAGTTGGGAATCCCAATGGGACATTCCACCGGGGTCCTCAAGCAACCCTGGCGCTTCCTTGGTGGGAGGGTTCCTGCCCTTGTGTGTGTAAATCCGCAGGGAATTCCATTCCTGCTGGGTACCATCAAAGGTGTTTCCATGTGGATTTGCTGATGACTGTTCTTTCCCTCCGTCCACAGGCAGTACATGAACAGGAAAGGAGGATTCAACAGACCCCTGGATTTCATTGCTTGAGGCTGCGCTGGCACCGAGCGGGATTTCCCTTCCTGGAGCCCGGATTTTGGAGGGATTTGGGATTATTCCCAACAAATCCATCAGCACGTCCTGGAATCCCTCATTATTTGTCATTACGATACCCCCCATGGGTCGTCCCTCGCTGGGATTCCATCGTATTTTCCCTGTTCTTTTGTGGCATTTCAATAAAACCCGGTGTAAATATTAGGACTTTTAATTCTTACTTTCGTAGTCTTCAATTAGAACCTTCTAGAACTCAATCAGACCACGTGGGGCCGCAACAGCACCTCATTGAGACCCTCAAACTCGGGGGAAAAAACCCTTTTTTGGCTTATTTGGACAGCCTGGCTGCTGTTTGCTGCATGCGAGCGCCCTGCGCCGCTGCCGCCCTCCGGTAATTAACGCCCTTCGCTAACGAGCATCACTTGCAGCTGAGGCCCCGCCCCTTTTATCTCTTGCGGCCTCGCCATTGGCGAGGTGCGGCTTCTCGCGCCTCCCAATAGGGCGAGGCGGCCGGGTGGGCGTGTCCAACGGGGGCCAGACGGCGTGGCGCGCTCCTCCAATGGCAGCGCGAGGGAGGCGGGGCTTGAGGGGCAAACACCCCGCCGTCTCGTGGTGGTGGTGTTGGGCGGGGCGTCCTCCAGGCGTCCTCCAATGAGCAACGCCGCCGGTGGGGCTTCCACCAATGAGCGGCCGCCGGGGGCGGGGCCTGGCGGAGCGGCCGGTTGAGGCGGACACAGCCGCCGTTGCTCCTCCGCCGCCGCCGCCGGTCCCGGCCGGGCCTCGCCCTCCCCTCAGGCAATGGCGGCCTGCGGCGGGGTCGGCATCCGGCTGCTGCTGGAGGCCGCCGAGTACCTGGAGCGCCGGGAGCGAGGTACCGCTGCCCCCTGCCGTCCCCCTCGGGCACCCCCCCCGGGCCCCGCCGGCCCTCACCGGTTGTGTCTCCTCAGAAGCCGAGCACGGGTACGCGTCGCTGCTGCCCGGCGGGAAGGACGGGGAGGCCGGGCAGCGCCGCGCCAAGGCCCCGAGGAGGAGCGGCGGAGGCGGCGGCAGGTAA